TTTATCATAGGATTCCACATGAAACTAACAAATGTACTAAATGTTCTAAATCCCTTCTGTGTTTTCCTCTGACTCTTCTTCAAAGCAGTCAGTTGGTGATTATGGTTATATTAAAAAATAGGAAATTTCTCTAAAAGTGGATAATGAGTACAATTGAAGTATGCCGACAGGAAATAAAAAACAAAAACAAAAACCTGCAATGGATGTGATTTTCCCAAGAGGAAAAAGAAGCATTCAAAAAGAGTTCAAGAAGCTGTTGTAAGCAATCCAGGGGCAGTTTTCTATTTCTGCTGAAATGTTAGTTTATTCCTTGTTAAGTTCCTCACTCCTTGTCGGTGAGTTCAGACTTCTTGATTTCACTTCTCATTTGCCAACAGATGCCGCATTTCAAGTGGGAACAAAGGTTTCTTGAGGAACGTGGCACTGAATGATCAAATTTACACTCTTCCCTCATTCTCCAGGCATATGTTCCTCCTTTCTCCTACTTGTCATCTTAACCTTCGTCTTCCGTCTCCTCTTTTTCTAGCTTATCTTCTCACCTTCTCTTCAAGCACTGCTTACTCATGTACCTCAATGTCTTTCCTTTTACTCTTCACTCCCCACATATACCCACCACCTGCTATGCTTTTAATGTGCTTTTCTTTTAACTCTTTCATTATTGAGTCCTCTTTTCTTGTCACACCTGCCCCTCCCCTCAGCTGGCCATCACCATTTTTCAGACTGCCTACCTAAATGAGCACATCAGTGTGTGCCTCTTGGAGGAGGAAAACTAGAGAAAGCAGTCAATGTTTTTTCCAAGTTCATAGTTTCTGCATCAGCTGCTAGGAAGAAAATGCCTCTGCCCACCAGCATGTTCCTAGCCTTTATTCCACTTCTTTAAAAATTGGCATTATTCAACTTCATGCACAGGAGCTAGAGACAGCACGTTGAAGGCATCAGAGCACTTAGCAAAATAAATTGGAATGAGAGAATATATAGTACTCATGTCCTTGGAGATGTCACCAGGTTAAAGTGAAAAGCCAGGCGAGAAAGACAAGAGGACGAGATGAACTCAACCTCACATGGTTTACAAGAGGCAAAGCCATCATATTTCAGTTCCAGTCTAGGAGCAATGAGCTTACAGAAGGCCCTCAACCAAGACGCAGCCCATGTGTCATGGGGGGACACGTTAGCACCGGGGGGGAATATAAAATTATAACCAAGGAGTCATTTTCCATCTCATCACTTTAATCTTTTTGTCAAAACAATCTGAACAGGTGAACATAAGTACTTGATTTATTATCAGAATGCATAGTATGAAAGTCCCTGAGATGCATCCAAGGATGACTCGAAGTGTATTCAATGCAATTATTCACCATACTAATTACCAAAGACTTGGCTCCCTTCCCTGATACTTAAGGCATGTCACTAAAATATATATATATATATAATATTTATGTACCATATAAATGTATATTATATATAAATATATATTTTTTAATGCTAAATTAGAGTCTCCCTCTGCAGTGCCTGGCTTTTCTGCCAGTTTACTGAGGCTGTGTAGTAAGTCATTTCTAGACTGTAAGGAAGGCAGTAAGGGCAGTAAGGTAGTTCTTTAAGCTCTGGGGTGCCAGTTAGTAGAATGATGGCGATGGAACTAGAAGATTTTGTTCCACCCCCTAATTTTACAGTTCAAGTGACAGAGGCTCAAAGGGGTTGTGACTTGCACAAGCACAGCTGGTCCTGCCACTAGCATTGTAACCTTGGCAAGTCCTTACACGGGTCTGGACCTCTGCTCCCTTCTCTGTAAAACTGACTGGTGAGCCTCACAGCTAACATCTTTCAGGTGCTTCCTATATGCCCCACACTGTCCTGAGTAATTTTTTTTTTTTAAATGGAGGTACTGGGATTGAACCCAGAACCTCGTGCAAGCTACCACTAAGCTATACCCAACCCCCTGTCCCGAGGACTTAGTGTCTTTTTTAATTCTCCCAACACCTCTATAAATTACATATGATTACCTTCAATTAGAGATGAGACTATGAAAACACACAAAACTTAAATAATTTGCCCAAGATAAGACAATTAGGACGTGTTGCAAAGCTGGTCTAGCAACCCAGGAATAAATGCCTCCAAATTCTCAAATTCCAATTCTTAAATCCCTTCTAAGAAACTCCCATCAGGTAGGTACTCAAATTCCTTCTACCTCCAAAAGTCTAGGGCAGCATTAACAAGCTATGACCCACGGACCAAACCCAAGCATGGCCTTTGTTTACACGTAGTCAATTGCTGTTTTTGCAGACAGCAGAGTTGGATCGTGGCCACAGAGACTGCATGGCTGACAAAGCCTGAAATTTTTCCTCTCCAGCCCTTTACAGAAAAACGGTGCTGATCCTTGCTCTCGAGCTTTGAAAATTTAGAGCATCCTGTAACTCTACAGCACTTTACAACGTACAAAGCACCTTGGCAGACATCACCACATTTAATCCTTGTTTTGCAGGGGCATTCATGCATTATAAAGGAGGAAGCTAGTTTAAGTAATTTGCCTGATCAGGGCTACAGGAGCAGAAAGTGGCAGAACCACATACCCAGGTTTTGACTCCAAATTGCAAGCTCTTTCCATGAAGCCACCCAGTCTCTAAATTACTGCTAGGGAAGGGCTTGGAAACTGAAAACGACCTGTGAATGCTGAAAGCAAGTCAGACTGTCCTCCTGATGCAGACATCAGTCCAGGTGCACTCGTGTAATTAGTCATCAAGCACTAAAAATATTAAATTTGTAATACATTTGAAAGAAAAATTTATGAAAGCCATTTCTGAAATACAGGTGATGCATCTATATGTATTTTTATATTAACATATGTGAATTTTTAATCTATTCAATTTAGAATTTGAAAAACAAAATAACATAAGATGGACAATTGCCATATCTCTCTTGCTCTTTGATGAGATTAGCCTAAAAAAAATTTTGGTCCTTAAATTTCGTACTCAAAATTTCCACATTAAAAAGATTCAATTATACCCTCCTCATGCTCAGTATTCAATAACCACATATGTGGTTAGTTTTAAATAGGCTTAATACTAAGGAAAGCCTTAGTAAAACAACAGTTATTTAATTAACTACATCACTTAACCAAAACTCCAATTATTTTTTTTCAAAGAAAGCCTCACTGCTTCTTTCTAGTCTGCAAATTCCATCTCAATCTAAATGGCAATGATGATTCTTAAAATCATACGGCTTAGCTTTAGGGATTCATTTGAAATACACGATATTAGGCCCCTTCCTTTTTATTTCAGGTATATTCTGCAACATATCTTGAGACTTAATTTTATAATCCATATAATTGGATATGGAGGCATGAGATCACTGCAAGGAAAGAAGGGGGAAAAATGTCTCTCTCACTGATTGATTCCCCACCATCTGTTAAGCACCTTGTGACTTCTTGAAATTCTGAAAACCATTGTGATGTAGTTTCCTGCTCCATTTTACAGATAAGAAAGCCGAGGCTCAAGGTTATTACTAATATGCCCGAGGTCACATGGCTGGGATTCAAATCAAAGCCAGATTATCTTCAAAACCCAAACTGTCCCACACTGTCCCACCTAGATTCCCAATAACACCAAGATCACTGGCCAATAGGTCATGAAAGGCTTATTTGAAGAATAGGATTTTTCCTTCTTCTTTCTTGGATGCCTGCTACTTGGATATTATAATTCTGCCCGTACTATTTTAATAAGGATATTTTATCCAGGGATTTTCATTTCTCCTTTTAAGGAAAAAGGAGAATTGAAGCACTTAGATTTTAGACAGCTTTTTGAGTTGGCAACAAACGCATAGAAATAAAACTTCGTGATTCAGCTAATTGTACTAATCAAATGCACAATTACTATTTACAGAACTCTTTATAAACTTAATTAATCTTGGGCCTTACCCCCAATAAGTCACTGAGGGTGTTTATTATAATAAATCAAGGGAAAAATTATTTCAAGCTTTAAATCAACTGGCTTTCTAATAACTGCTTTATGGTACTGTTAAGTAAGTCGTTTTAAACAAATAAGTTCTGCCAACTGATTTACCAAAATTACTACTCATTTTTTGACAGTGGTAGATTGTAAGAGCCTTAAAGAGAGGGACCTTGCCTTGGGGTCTTTCCTAGCACCCCAAGCTCAGCGTTTGGCACAGTGAAGGCACCTGGGGAAACCTAATATGCTGCTTGTTCAAAAGCTTTTAAAGTCAATACATATATTTTCAAAGTTGGCCTCATAGCACAGACTTAAGGGCAGGAGAAATGGGAGGATATACTTACTGTACGACTAGGCAGATGAGGAGGGGAACCTGATGGCCTCAGAGAAAATTGCCCATTTCTTTAACAAAAGATAAAGCTTTACTGCAGGCTCTAATTTAGTTCTATTTCCTAGCA